ATTAATACAATATAATATATAATATTATTATAAAATAATAATTATAATATAATATTATAATTATCGAAATTGTCTCTAATTCGGTACCGGATTAGAACGATACATGTATATTTCCTTTAAAAATATGTATATTTTTTCTTAAAACATGTATACTGTGGAGAGACACCTATAATTTTTATAAACACCTATATACATGTTTTTAGAAGAAATATACATGTTTTAAGAGGAAATATACATATTTTTAAAAGAAATATACATGTGCCACTCTAATCTAGTACCAGATTAGAGACTTTACCTATAATTATAATATCATATTATAATTATATTATAACTATAATATCGTATTATTAATATAATTATAATATCATATTATATGATAAAATAATAATATTAGAGTTATTAATATAATTATGATATTATTTGTTACAATATTACTATTACATTATATTATATTATATTATCGTTTTGTTATATTGTATTTATTATATTATATTATGAATCTGAATTTTAGATTGAGAATATTGTAAATTTTAAACATTAAGAGTATTATGAAAGTTTCATTAATTGTACTATGCTGATGCCCGCACAATCTAAAAGCTGAAGTTGCTTTTGGGCTGCTTCTAATTTTAGTTGTAGATTCTTCAAAAATTCTTTAAAAAAATATTTTTAGAAGATTTACTAAATACTAAAATCAACTTTTGCTACAAACAGAAGTTAATTTTAAAAGCGAAAAGTAATACCAAACTCAGCTGCTGTTCCGTTCGAAAAGATGGCTCCTAGAAGTGGCTTTTGTTGTTTTCAAATAAAACGACAAGTCGTTTGCGCCTTCCCATGGATAAACGACATATCGTGCATTTGATTTTTGCTATACTAAAACAATGTCACCTGTAGTTAAAAGATTGTGACTTTCACAATTTACGTAACTTTTTATATATCTATGCAACTTTCTGAATATATTTGATTTATTATCTATATGATCAAATTGTGCCGCCCCTTCCATCATATAGATAAATTTGGCCGATCAACGCTCCATTTATCTTCCTTCCATCATTGACATTGTCACATCCTTTATGCTACCATTTTATGATTCTTTTATGGTAACTTTCTGTTGATGAGACTTCCCATGTGAAATTGGCCCAATACATTTTAGAAGCTCAATTTAATTTAAAAAGGTTAACTTATTGGGTCTAAAGTTCTTCTATGTGTATAAACCACTTCACATCCTCATTCACTTTTCATGTAGGACAATACACATGTATTTTTCTCAACAATCTTCCCCTCATATGTTTGTGTTCACCGAACTCTCTCTTGGACCAAAATTTCTAGTAGCCAATATATCCAAGTATTACACCCCAAACGGGAGGTAACTCAAGCATGAGAGAACTGAAACCATGCGTGAATACTAACTCTTCACGGAGGCAACGTGAGAACTGTAACCGATCGGTTCTGATACCACTTGTTGGGAGATTCAACATGAGAAACTGGCCCAACACATTTCAAGAGCTTAATTTAATCTAAAAGATTAACCTATTAAGTTTAAAATTATTCTATATGTAGAAACTACTTTACATCTTCATCCACTTTCCAATAAGACATTACTTTTCTCAACACTTCCACACCTTCCATAACCTTACTGATAAAAAATGCCGGCTTGTTTGGTGGGGGCAGAAGAGTAATCTCATTGGACGACAACATCAAAACGACATCCGGCATGGTTGGCCTGTCTGGTGCGTGGTCTTGTACACACGAGAGGCCTGTATGAATGCAATTTAGTACTTAAAAACTGGGACAGTCACCCAATGCTGTATCCACTTGCTCAAAGCCTCTACCTTTATTCCACAACTGCCATGCCTACAACAATCCCGATTGTAAATATCTAGTAATCTCTCAGTGTCCAGATGGGAATGATAATCAAAGACATTACAAGCTCAGATTTAATAAAAAAAGGAAAAATTTTATATTGATATCCTGTGTTATAATGTAATTGTCTTTTAGTATCATGTGTTTTTAATAATTTTAAATTAATACATTGACGTTTTAGAAAATTATTTTTTTGGTACCTTAAAATCATTTTTTGGAATATAAAATGTCAAATTTACCATTCTTATTAATTAACCAAAAAACTAATAATAAATTTAGAAAAATTCTAATTTTTTAAAAAAAATTAAAACTAAAAATAATGCTTTAAATAATAAT